TATAGCATCCTAAATAGACTAAGCTCCAAGTTCTGGTACCCGTGCTTCTTTAACAAATGTTACCTGGCTTAGTATAGTCAGCTGAGTCTTCAGGCTTAGTACAGAGATTCTAAGATAGAATCATTTCCTAAAGTTCACAGATAGGATCATTTCCTCTTCAAAGTTATCAATTTACTTTTATTCCATTTCCAAATTTTACCAAAATGTGGCCCAGTGATTGGACATGACATTGTTTCCACAGGGAACTTGACTAGTGATAAAACTGGTTAGTAAACTCTATATTAACTAGTATCAGAGTAACAGTGGCTTCAGTGAATTTAGCTTATTTTTTTAACTTTGACTTAAACTATTTTTACCTAGTTTTTGATTTCTATTTTGCTTTCTCTCTCTACTTTTTCTTCAGCTTTTAAAGGGAGAGGTTTAAAGGCCTATAACAAGAAAAAATTAAATTAAGTTAATAGGGAGATAAATGACTCCCTAGGAAGTAGGGACAGGAGAGGGAACTAACAGGTGGAAAAACGCTAAGTTCAATGACTAGTTGCTGGCTTAGGCTGACTTACACTGGATTTGGGTCTCTCATTCTCTGCAGCTACACTGCTGCCTGCCTGGTGGCAGATACACAATCACACTACACACATGTTTAGCGTGTAATTAGTCTTTACTCGCCACCACCTTGGATCCTGCTACTGCAACACCATGGTCAAGGCAAAGGATTGAATCGAGAAAGTCTAACTACATCAAACCCAATGTAGGATAGAAAACTGATGGATGGACAAGCAGGACTGGATGAAAACAAATGCTGAGACAATCCTGTCAGAAGGGAGCAGGTGTTGGGGGCTCTTCTAGCTCGTTTCTAGAAGACAAATGATCAGGGTGGCTCAGCAGACCTTGTTGCTCAAAAGCTCTTTCCCCCTCTACTTCCCAAATGTATATTGCCATCAAATTTGCCCTGAGCCTGGGGATATTGCTTTCTACCTAAATGGGATTATCCATAAAAGCCTTAATATAGTTGAGGTCACATAGCAAATCATCAACAAATGTTAGCTATTATCATCAATATTGTTATTAATTTTAGCCAGGTGTTCACCCTCAGGTACTGAGAGGAAGCAATTTTGGGCTAAGAGCCAAGTATCAACTATTACTGTCATCAAACATGAAATATGTATCATAGCCTGTGTATAAGACAAACTTTCAAAGCAGTCAGGCATAATAGGGTTTTTTTATGTCTGTTGCCTTATTTCCCTCCAACATCTAATTTCTCTTAGCCCAACCTAGAAGAAAATCATAATTGAAAGTATAAGAATTGCACGTTTCCATTTAATCATAAAAGAAAGGGTATGTTTTCCAAAAACTTGGTGGTACTCAAATATGTGTAGGGATGCTATTTCTCTTTCCTCTACATTTTCTCAAAATCTGTCTTCATAAAATCAGATGATTCAGAAACTGTATGCAGGAAGGGAAAAGAGGAGCAAAGAAAAATAACTTGAAGTGTGTACAAGTAGACATTCAACTCATTAGCAAGTAATATCCAGAAAAGACAGTTACCATATGGACTGCTGTTACTGAAAAACGTCTCGCTCCCCCCAGAGGGAGGGGCTGCTAAGAGGCTCAGGGGTGGATGTTAGAAACCTCCTACTTATTGCTTCTCTCAGGAGCAAGTTTTGTTTTTGTTTTGTTTTTTTCCTCTCCCCCTGGCTGACAGAGGCTGTTGCCTTTAAGGCTTCATTTTCTTTGTGTGCCTTTTTGAATGTTAATGTCTTTGCAACTCATTAACCTGGGGTAGTTGTTTTGCACTCTGAGCACCAAGGCATCTCATCAGGATGAACTGGGGCAAGGCAGCCTCTAGAAACACACCTGGGTCTCTGGGCAGTCATCTGCAGGCGATTGCCTCCAGGTGTTTGCCAGTGGGAACCCATTGAAAGTCAATGCAATTTAGAGCAATTTCTCTGGCAGTGGAAATTAACCTGCAGGAATCTGCCGGCAACAGGTGTATTTTAGGGCAGTCATACCAGCGTCCTGCGCTGCGGAGACAGGACCTTGACTACCAGGTGTAGTGCAGAAGGCTAGATAATTGGAGGAGGCAGGAAATCAGTGCAGAGAAGATGGCCAAATTACAGGTCAGCATGGGTTGGTATAATTATTGGTTAACCCTCTCCTGCCTGTTGACCAAAACCCATTTATGTATTTGAGGAACCAAAAAGTCTTCACTGAGCAGGAAAGAATTACTGCTCCCTGTTCAAGCAGACTGGATTTTTTTGATAGCTGAGATTTTCAACAAATTGTTTTTGCTTTAGTGTCTGATACTCAGAATATGATTGCTGGAAATCTACAGATCTTCAGGAAGGCAAGGAAGAAGTGAATTTTAAGTGCTTGAAAGTCTCCTGCCTCAGAAACAAACCATTTTAACCAGTGTGTTTGGCCCTTTCTACCTCCTTTAAAAAGACCTGCAGGGAGGAATATACAGATTCAGGAAAGGGTGTCTAAGCTCTGTGTCATCATTTCTCCTGGATGTGAATTTCTACCTGTGTTCTTTCTTCTTACGTCCTCATAATTTGACCCCTGGATACAATTCTCTTTTGCCAGGTTTGTTACTGTCTATTGTTTTCCATGTAACTGAGTTGACTTAAATAATTTTGAAATTAAAAAAAATTTTTTTGAAGTCAAGAACTGAACAAATTAAGCCATAGCATAAATTTTAGATCAAATGTTAATGTTCACATCACATCCATGACATATAATAATGAAACTTGTGTGATACAGTCTTTTGGCTTTCCGATCTAAAGTTTATGATATTCTTAAGAATGAAATAGAGATGTATTTTATTATTGCTAAAGATTGCCAAAGTGCTCAGTCATTAACCATAATTAATGATTACTCACAGTAAGTATTGTGAATACTTCTATAAATTGGTTATATAAAACCAATTATTCAGCATTTTCATATAATTGAACAGGGCAATAAATGGATGGTTCTTTTGAATATAAATAAAGTGTCAGATAAATAATTTTAGGAGGAACATATCCTTTTTGAACCAAACGCATGCTTTATTTAAATACTAAATAAATAATACATTTAAATACTAAAAGGCAGAATAAGATTAGAATAAATCATAATTTTAATCTTTGTAAAATTGTTTGACTTAGTACCATTCCCAGCACTGAAAAAAAAATCGTACTTCAGTATTTTATTTGGTATTTCTCTATCTAATTCTATTTATGCCAAGATGTCTGTCAAGAAAAATTCCTAGTTGGAATTGCTCATGATTCTTGAGGATGAATTGAAAGCAGATGTCAACTTTGCCACCTCAAAATTTTCATGAAAAAAATGTCCCCAGTTATTTCTAGTTGATCCAGACATCATAACGAACACAACACGAAGGAAATAAGAAAAATTCTACACATTTTATTCTTTCTAGTGAAACTTCAAAACGGCAGACGTTGGAAGACAATTTTAAGAAAACCATTACTGGTAATTTTGAATGTGTGAAGGTTAAATATGGGGTCTGAATTTTGTCAAACTGAATGTTCCAGTCCAATGTTCTCAAAGTGCTGCTCCTGAGCCAGCAGGGCAGCTCCCCTCAGGTGGTTCTTAGCTCTCCAGTGCTCCTGGGGTGTGCCCAAGTAATGGAATCACTGCTCTAGAGTGCTAACCGTTTCAGTGCTTGGAAAAGAAGAGTTTTTGAAGATTGTGGTCGCTGTAAATCTGAAGCACAAAGTCCTTTCTAGAAATTGCTAAAAAATGAGTTTTTGGATTTCTTTCTCCTAGATACAAAAAGGCCATTGGCATTAGCAAACGTCCCTGCTGACAGCGAGCATTATCTTGGTGGCCCAAACGTGCAGCGTGGTGGCGGTGAGTACAGTCCAACAGCTGACAGTCTGTAACTCTCCTTGCGCAATAAATTTCAAACTTTTAAAATTTGACTATCAAAGTTTTAATGATAGAAAATTGTGGTCATAATTCAAATTTTTTATAATTTCGAATGTATTCTTTTCTTCTACAAGTTGTCTTCATAATGGGGACATTCACTTTCAGCTGTCTATTGGCTTTTTATTTATTGTTTTTTGAGACAGACTCTCATTCTGTTGCCCTGGGTAGAGTCATCGTATAGGCCACAGCAACCTTGAACTCTTGGGCTCAAGGGATCCTTTTGCTTCTGCCTCCAGAGTAGCTGGGACTGTAGATACACACCACAATGCCCAGTTATTTTTAGAGATGAGGTCTCGCTCTTGCTTGGGCTGGTCTGGAACTCCTGAGCTTAAGTAATCCACCGGCCTTGGCTTCTCACAGTGCTGGGATTATAGGCGTGAGCCACCATGCCCAGCCCTTGCCTATTGGTTCTAACGACTGGTCATTCTATTAGACCAAAAAATATATATCTGATACACTTATAGTGTGAAATTATAGTTTCCTTACAAAAATCTAATCCATGAAGAAATCATTTTGATTTTTTGCATTCATTTATGTGGCACCTTGTGCCAGTCTCTATCTTCTTCCTGATTTGTTTCCTTCAGATCCTGTCCTATAATTTATAATCATTGTATTTATCAGTTTATTCCATGGACTGTTCATCTCTCCTACTTGACTGGCAACCTCATAAGGCAGAGACATGATTGCTGTTTTGTCCCTGGTGTCTAGAACAATGCTTGGTTCAAAGTTAGCACTCCATATTTGTGGAACGAATGAAAGCCTACATTTCTGCATTACTACATGTGATTAGGTTAGAATTACCGAATGCTTGACGTGTGAATCAAATGCCAAAGTGTGCAGTCAGTGCTCGAGAAACTTTTTGCATAATGGTTTCCTGTACCTCACTATGTAAAATAAGCGGTTGAAGAGTTCCAAAATTTACAGGCTGAAAGGTTCTCGCATGTAATTCTTCAGGCATAAATCTACTGGTGGGCTGTGTCAACTTTAATAATGGTACGAATGGAAGACCGCTGTGATGCTTTCATTATCTTGAAGTTGCACACACCCTGCCCCTCTCAAAACACTTTGTTTATATACTTACCTGGCGGGGGAGATACTAGGATCACGAAGGTGGCTTTCCCAGGGTGAGACTTATCTTTTGCACTCCAGATGTGCTGACCCCTGCCATTTCCCCAAATGTGGAAATTTGACTGCATAATTTGTAGTCGTGGGGGACTGTGTTCAGGCCTGTCCCCTGGTAAAATCAAAAATCAAAAATAAAAACTTTGTTTGTATCCCTACTGAACCAACATATCATACAGCCTTGGACTATATCCGAGTATGTTGATCCAGATCTCTTTCCCCATTAAATTATAAGCTCCCCGGGCAAAAACAAAGGGCTCCCTTACTTATCTTTGCATCCTCTGGTGTCTCGCATGCTGTCATGCTGTCCTCTCAGAGAGGGAGAATTAAAGTTGGCAGCTTCCAGAATCAATGCCATCTTTCTTTTCTCTTCTGCCTTAATCCCCTTGTTGCTGGCTGTGGTGAGCACAGTGAATCACACAGCAAAGACATCTGAACCTGGGAGGAACTGGGCTTCTGACAACTGGGAGAGGCAGAGAGAATGAGACTTCAGAATCCCCAGACATGAAAGTAATCAATGAATTCCAAGAAGGTGAACTAATAAGTGAGCCTCTTTGGGGATCAGAGTAAACTCTGATTAAAGTTGCCAGCCCTGTCTTTCAAAAATATCCATAGTCATCCACCAGTGTAAAACTAAAAGCTGGCTAAGCATGAGGAAAAGAGAACAAAGAATGATGTGCAGTCTGAGCTCCCAGCTTGGTATGTTCTTCCTAATTTGCTGGGGGGCCATGAGGAGGCAAGGTTTCTAGTCCACTATTTTCAACCAGGGTGCCGCGGCACGCTGGTATGCCATGAGAGGATCTTGGGTGTGCTATGACATTTTTAAAGATCATTAATTAAATTATTTTCAAAAGAAGTACAAAGCACAATAAGTATATTCTTTTTTTTACTCTTTTTAAATCAGTATAATTCAAGTGTGCAGTGGAAGTTTAACTACAGATTCAAGTGTGCCATGAGATAAAAAAGGTTGAAAAATACTGCTCTAATCTATACTCTGACACCCATCTGCTGTGATATTTTGTTCACTGTGATTTAGACATAAAGTGAAAGTCCTGAAATATTGTATTCTTGGTGTCTTCATTCAACTTTGTTATGGTCCAGTCTTTTGAAGGGTTTACTTTCTTTTATTCATTTAACTAACTTTTTAGAACCCCCATCAAGGAAATCATAGTTTAGTTCAGTGGTTGAGAGAATGAGTTCTGGTGCCTGCATGGGTTCAAATTTTAACCCAGCGCTTATTCATTTCTGTGAACTTGAGCGATTTACTTTCTATACTTCAGGGTCCTGACTTGTATATTGAGCTTAACAAAAGCCATGATGATTATTGAGGATTACAAAGTTGGATCATGAAAAGTACATGAAATCATGTTTGGAATGTAGTAGGAGATCAGGAAATGTCAGCAATTGTCACATACCTGTGAGAAACTCCCCAAGTATGTGGCCTGTGGTTCAAAATCAGGGAGACAAACAGGACATAGCTTCTGTCCCAAAGGCACAAGCTCATAGATCAATGACCAAGAACTCAGAAAAGAAAACAATTAGAACTTAGGCTAATAGTCCTACACATGTGGTCTCAGAAGAGTACCAATTAGAGGCACCAATTCCACTTTCTAAAGGTCAACAATTTTTTCTAAGAGGAGCAGCCACCTGCTCTTGACGGACACATTGGTGCAATCCTGGCAAGTTCTGGCATGAGGGAGGGAAGGTGATTGCTGTTGAGGGTCTGGTTTCAGCACAGGATCCTACAGGTTTTGCAAGTTGTTCTGCCTCTGGGAACTGCCCTAAAATGGGTTGCATGTGAATCTCTGAGCTGGAATTCCCCAGCTGTAAAAAGGACTTCATAATCCTTTCTGATATCACTAGGGTTTAGTGAAAAAAGTATTTATAAACAATAATGGAGTTATGTATCTTTTAGAATGAATAGGAATTAAACAGATTTTGGTTTAAATTGGGGCTTCGTGTCTATGAATTTGAGCTACCTAGCCTAGGCTCTCTGTCATTGATAAAATCCGACATGATAATACCAACCTGTGGGTTAGTTGTATGGACTCTCCAGGGAGGAAGTACCTTGCACACGGGCAGCTCTGTAACCATTTGCCTCGTTCTTTTCCACTGAAAGCTTTCACAAGAAAGATTACTTCAAATTCAGAAGAGGGGTAAAGATTGTTTATCATCGCACTCACTCATCTCATCTTGGTAATAACTATTTGAAAATAATGATTCTCAGAGACATTTTGTAGCTTTTTAATTGCAGAGGTCAGAATTTAACAGTAGAGAATATTAAGGGAAGAGAAAGAGGAGGGGAAAAAGGAGGAAAAAGGGAAAAAATAAGATAAAAAGGGGGGTGATGGAGGAAGAGAGAAGATAGAAGTGTCCTAGGTCAGTATATCTTGTTCAACTGTTACTTAAGTGATAACTTTTCCTGATCTTTTTTCATATATCATAAATAGTTCTCAGTTGTTTAGGATTTTCCAAATCTACACTGACCTTGGTCAAAATAGGTCCTTTCTCTGTGTTGATCACCTCCTCCTCACTTTCAGATTGTTATAAAGCCAACCATCAGGGGGCATCTGTGGCTCAAGGCGTAGGACGCCAGCCCCATATACTGGGGGTGGCCGGTTCAAACCCAATCCCAGCCAAAACTGCAACAACAAAAAATAAATGAAAATAAAGCCAAGCATCTGGGGGAAACATGCCCACACCTTTCCTTTAGAACAAAAAAGGCACTATAAACCTGTAGGCACTACAAAACATACTCCATTGAGTCCAGCTGCCCTGTCCTACTCCCTGGCACCCTAACACACAGAGTCTCCCTGGCCCGTCCATATTTCTTTGGGACACTGACGCAGAGCATAACTCTCTATGTCCCTTCCAGCGTAGTATTATTCCCATTGTGATGAAGTTAATTGCTGAAATAGAAGTGGTAGACAGCCCAGCTGTAATCTGCTGTCTTACTGAACGGAGCCAGTTTCAGGAACATCTCTCCGGAGCTTAGACGTTACATTTCATTTCTCTTCCTCTATCCCGCCCATAGGCAGTTGTTCTCCTGAGCTATGCCAGGAGACATCAGCATCCCAAGATTGCTGGCTCAGCTACGGGAATTTGCGACAATACCTTCATTTTTATCATAGCAGTGATTTTTACAGCCCTTCTTCTTTTCCTGGAAGTGTATGCACATTTGCGCGGTGTTTTGCTTAGTTAAAAATAATTGTGCAATGAGCTGAAGTGCAGAAAGTAGGTGTGATTTGCATGCACCGAATTCTTCTAGGAAGCATCAAAACTTGTGGGTGGAGAGTATACTCTTTCTATCAAATGTTTCTCTCTGTACCAGTGAAATTAAACTGGAAAAAAATGCAATAATCTTATTTTCAAAAATAACAATAAGAAGAATTATATATACTTTTTGAATGAGAAAAATCTCTGGCTCAATCTGCTTCTTTGGACTGTTCCTTCTCTGGCGACTGTTTGTCAGTTTTCTGACTAGTCTCAGTGGCAGACAATTAGCACAAAGAACTTTCTATTTGGGTGAGATATCATTGTAGTGAAAAATACAAGGAGAGGTGAAAAGTGTTAGACGGTGCTGGGCTAGCAGAGTGAATTGCTGCAGAGATAGCAGCTCCGGCAGCTCGTAATTATGAAACATCCCCAGGTGTGATAGAACAGTCAAACAAAGGATATTCCTTTTCTTTCTTAATTAACAACTTGAAGATAAATAATTTTCCTCTTAAGCTCAAATCAGGATCAAGCAAAAATCCTGGTGTCCTTTGACTTCCCCAAGCTGCTGCATGAAGCATTGCGACCATTTTTTTTAAAAACCTCCTTCTGATTTATTAACTTAAGATAAATGGCTTTCCTATCATAACCTGTCAGTGCCATGCAATGAAAAGGAAATCAGTGGCGGTAACTGCGTGCAAAGCTGCTCAGGATAGCTAGCCTTAGAAACTAGAGCAAAATCCTCAATAACTTCACCACCTCCCCCCACTGCAGAAAACAACCCACCGGCACGTTTCTCATTCATTAACTTTCTAAAGACATCTGTCCTTGCAGCATCTCCAATGCAGCTGAACATGATGTATGAAATCCCGCTCAGCTCATGCACAAAGAGCAAGGGAAAAAAGAAGAGCTTGGTGGAGACGGCAATATCGTCTGTGGAAGCTTTAGCAGACGCCACTGGCAAAGCTTCCCACTTGTGAAGATCCTGGGGAAGGGAGTTTCTCTCTCTCTGTTTTCAGTTCTTCAAGTTTGGCTCATTCCTCTTGAGCATGAGTTACCTCTTAAGCAGCCGGTGGGGCACAACTTCTTCGTAATAACAGTAATAAAAGATAAGCAATATCCCCTCATACAACAAACACTTAATCCTTCAGATGAACACTTCACGCCAAACCTCCTCCTCTTTTACCAAGATACCTGGAACACCTTTAATTCCAGTAATTCATCAGTCCATGTGTCAATCTTTTGCATTCAGCAGGGAAAAAGAAAAAGAGGCCAGGAGAGCACTGAGGCAAAAGTAGATGATTTTGTTGGGATTCTTACTCAGATATTTAGCAGATGCTTAACATTTATAAGGACAATTATAGTAATACAATCTCAACAGTACATATGTGGAAATAGTTGTCGCTTACCAGGGAATTTGGTTCTTGTTCTTATCTTGTTCCCACTGGTTACGTGAAGTGTTACCTGTAAAGTGGACTGCCAGATTGCGCAAGCCGTTATTTTTTCCCTTTATCATCTGTAGTTTCTGAGGTCCTCAGAGAAGGTTTGCCAGAGGCTTTAGCTTGCCCGAGGGAAGTATGTAAAGGGGCCATGTGTTTCTTTAAAGGAAAGCATTTCGTTTTTGGAGAAATGGCCACCATTGGGCAGCCAATGCCTTCAGAGTGAGTGCCACGGTGTGTCACACTCTATGCTCACCTCTGGTAATTTCCAAAATCTATCACCAAAATGATCCAGATGGTGAAGTTAGAGAGGCTAGTCTGGCCTCCCTGACAGCCCGACTGGGGAGTGACCCTGTCTCAGTCTTATGGGAGCCATTCTCCACATCCAAAAGACATTGCCGTTCGTAGCATGTGTTCCAAGGTGAGAAAGGCAGCAGGAAGGAATGACTTTACCTGCGGCACA